TTCTTCGTAGTGTGAAGGCTGGCGTGTTGATGCGTACCTTCTCCAAAGTTTGCTCTTGCGGTTTATTTGGCTCTTCAGATTACTTACATAGTACTGCAATACGTCACAAACGATTACTATGACCTTACTGCCATATTCTTCGTGTTCGCATCGCACACATCGCTGTTGCCATTTTTATCTTTGCCTTAAGACACTCAACCTTCTGCACACTTCACATCGTAGCACATCTTTCAGTCCGCAGTTACAAACGATTACACCGCTCAGATACGTCACACACAAACCACCCCTTGAAGCACATGGCCACGTATACACGTATAAAAACAACCCACGAGCTAGGCTCTCTATGGCTCGGAAAAATTAGCGATATTTAGCATGGAGCCCGCGCGCACACGCCCACCCACTGACTGCATAATAAAAGCCTTGCATTTTCGCTCCCCCTCTCTTTAAGTCCTTCTTTGACAGCTGTCAAATCCACTTAGGTCAAAGTCTCCCGATATAAGACGCCTATGCAAGCGAGGCCACCCTCAAACTCCTCGGAATTCTGATGATAATGCTCGCGGCAGGAATGTGCAATAACACCACTGCGAACATCAGCGATGTACTTCTGGTCATTCACTACTTTCTCACAAAGGAGCATTGTGGACCCGACTTCAAAATATTTAACTATGTCGATAGTCTGCTATATGCCATCGATTATCTTAATGCCCAATTCGATCCTAGCATCCCCTACGCACCCTCCTTCACCTTCCTCAAGGGATGCTCCCTCAGGAAGTAAAACAGAGCGGCCAAATTGATGGACGCTATGCACCACATGCATGCCATCACCAGGCAGCTTGCGGGCTTCTCCGTTCTGCTTGGTCCTCCACTCACGGTGGACTATGATCTAGTCATTGATTGGATAGCTCTAGTGCTGCCGCAGACCCCAGGCGTGGATAGGCTCTATCAGATAAGCTACGTCTGTCGTATCCAGAGCCAGGAGACTGTCTTCGCTAAACAGCAGGAGACGGAAGAAGAGAAGGAACGGGTGGTGACTCCGCGCAGACTGAACTCAAATCACTTTGCCGCCAT